GCTCTGAAGCCCCACAACGTTTCTTATGACGAAAGAAATTTCCCCTGTTCTTGATTGTCTTTCTGCATGTAGGACGGGCTCGAGGATACGTTGCTTTGCACATGATCGATCTTTACACAAGGACACAATGATCCCAAATGATTTTTCATGGTTGATATCCGTCTTTTATACCTGTTCTAGTCAAAAGAATGACCTCATCATCTAAAAATAGAAACAATTTCTGCTGAATCAGCAAATCGGTAGGTGACGTCACTGTGGCCTGTCCAACTTTAACCTGTTTCATTACCATATCCACTCAACTGTGACTTCAAGCGAGGATAAGTTAGCACTGCCCTCGACTGATTTAGCCCTAAGCACTGCGCTCGACTGATTTAACCCTAAGCACTGCGCTCGACTGATTTAACCCTAAGCACTGCGCTCGACTGATTTAGCCCTAAGCACTGCACTCGACTGATTTAACCCTAAGCACTGCGCTCGACTGATTTAACCCTACGCACTTCACTCGACTGATTTAACCCTAAGCACTGCACTCGACTTATTAGGGTAAGACAATTCGCCCAAAATTGGTTCGCCAACTTCTCCTATGTCATCATCATTCCCTTTGCTGTCATAGTAACGGATGTTGCGATTAGGGTGTCCGCTATGGTGTCCGCTGTTGACTTTCATTATTCCAAAATTTAGAAGGGTTTGTATGGCGACGAACATCATTTGCATAACAATGGTGTCTAAACAGACTAGTAATACTGCTGCCACATCTTAGATCGTCTTTATTCCCTCTTATATGTCAATATTTTATCACCAAATTGTAAGAATACCTTTACTCTAGCATTACTCACACTTCTAGGTGGAAATTTTGATCACGTGACCTAAAGCATAAAAACGAGGCTAAATCCTAAATGTGCCCTTTTTCGTGTCTTCTTTCAAAATATCACTACAAAAGTAAGTTATAACGAAGGAGAAAAATTTCATAGACTTTCTCACATAAAAACCTGAAACCTTCTACCACCTTATCACGTGATTAAAGCATGAAAACGAGACCATATCTTTAAACTACATTTTTCCGTAATGCAAATTACCGTTATTCACATCTTTCATCACAGATCATTTCAAGAGACAAGAATAACAACTATCTAGACTTCTACGTACTCTACAACCTTAGAACTGTGACCAATCGCCCCTTAAAAGTGTGATAAAGACATAATTCACAAATAAATTTATTGTCTTCATCACTATCACTTACATTATTATAGCTATTGTCACTTTCATCATTGTCATCAACATATTCATCACCATCATCTTCCTGCAAAGCCTTTTCACAGGGCTCGTCATCATCAGAGCACGCGTAAAGTTTAGTGCAGGTTAGCCCACCCTTTTGGCACTGGCACCGATTTGTTGAGCATTGCTGCTTTAAAACGAAACAAGCTACAGCGCAATGCTGCATGTAAAAAGTTGTAACGTAAAGCACAATTTTGAAAGCGCCTTTCGCTATTTTGCAAGCGCAGTAAACAGTAGCTAGAGTACAGAATGTAATAGAAAGGATCTTTATGCTATCTGTTGTTTTTGAAGCCTTCAAAAACGTCGGTTTTGTTCCTCTGTACACTTTTCGCAAATCGTTGTCTGGTATAGAGCGACTGGGCTTTACACTGCATTTCACCTTGCATAACTCATCAGCCAGACTAGACGGGATTCACCCTGTGCAGATTCACTGATCGGGATACTGGATTAACCTGATCACCGCAGTGTCTGTAATAAAGAGGTTACGTTTTTATGAATTTACTCTCTGGGGCCGAGATTTAGTGTCCGTTGTCCGTATTAGAGAGAGTCCGTATTAAAGAGGTTTTTTTCAAGAAAATATATGAGAATTTTGTCGGGACATTGGAAACTGTCCGTAATAGAGAGGTGTCTGTACCGCCTGGTTCGAGTGTAGCATTGTGTACATGTACTTTGCTTGGCCAATCATGGTGGAACATAAATTTTACCTGTCAGCAGCTGGTTCTAGCAGGTTGCCATGGTTACCTCCTGTACAATGCTTCCTTCTTTCTCCATGTCCTTCTATGTTAAGGACACCCGCTATTAAGCTCATCTTATGTAAATAAGTTTAATGAGCTGTAATCATCCGCGTTTTTAATTTACTTGGTTTTCCTACATGAGCCCCTACAATTAAAGCCCAAGTTTCACTGTAGTAACTCCTGTATGCGTCTTGTTGTTGTAGTTAATAAAGAAGAGAGGTGTCCGTATTAGACAGGTGTCCGCACGTACTAAAAAAGTCATTTTCGGAAACAGAGTTTTTTTTTTTAATTTTTGTCCTAGCCTAAATGCGTTTGTAGTGCTTTGCAACTATTGTCAGTTTATTAACATAGAGTATTTAAGTTTTCGGTGTGATGGCTCTTATGCATTTCACTCTGTTGGTTAGGGATATGAGTTAACAGAACTGCATGTTAACTCCTTCTGTGAAGGGTGGGAAAAGTTGCTTCATCATTAGAAAGGTGTATGTACAAGTTAACAGAAGCTAACCAAGAACAAAGTACTGTGAGCAAAGAACTGTTTGTTTCTGGACAATTTCCAGAACTGACCATTTCAGAATTTGAAGGTGACACCCTGCAAAATCCTGTGTGGAGGAGTGCCTTTAATGCTCTAGTTGACTCTAGACCACTGGCAGCAGACATCGAGTTGAATATGTTGAATCAGTATGTAACTGGAAAGCCAAAGCAAGTTGTGAAACATTATCTTCTGATTGGGTCAGAAGATGCTTATCAGAAAGCCAGGTCTGTATTGCAGGAAAGGTATGGAAACTGTAATGTTGTGAGTACAGCATTTATTAACAAGTGTTAGAAGTGGCCCAAGATAGGGCCCAAGGATGCCAGTGCCCTAAGGGAGTTCTCAGATATGTTAGACAAGGTGTTGGCAGCAAAGAACACCATTCCAGGTCTTTCTGTACTGGACTATGCAAAGGAGAATGTAAAGTTACTATCTAAGTTACCCTACTACCTTGAAACCAAGTGGAGAGATGCAATTAAACAATGGAGACATACCCATGGTGGAGCCAGTTACCCTACCTATCTTAAGTTTGCGGATTTCATCAAAGAAGCAGCATAGAAGGCAAACATCCCAGAGTTAGAAGGCCTCTCCTCGTTAAGTGGTCCAAGATTTAACAGAAATCCGAAGCCGAACCCAGATAATGAGAAGGGTAGTTCTCTGTCTACATCAGCTAAGGGTGGTGGGAACGGTAAATCAGACCCGACTAGTTCTAGTAAATCAAAGAACCCTGGTCCAGATGGTTTGACGAAGTGTCTGTTTTGTGGTGCATAAGTTGGATGACTGCACTGGTTTCTGTAGAAAGACTTTCAGTGAAAGGAGAGACTTCTTCTTCCGAAACGTTTGTGTATGGGTTGTGCAGCCAGTAAGAGTCATCAGGTAGCGAACTGCAAGGAGAGGTTGAAATGCAAAATTAAATAATGCTCAGGAACACATCCCACATGCGTTCACAAGGAACTAACACTAGACAATGCTGCGATCTCAAATTCTATGAGTGTATGTCTAATTCCTGAACAAAGCGGTGGATTTGATCACACCATGATAGTACCAGTGTGGGTCAGGCCAGTGGGAGAGCCAGAGAAGGAAATCTTGCACTATGCAGTCCTCGACGATCATTAAAATGTCAGTTTTGTGTCTGAGACTCTTTGTGAACGGTTCAACCTGCAAGGCCCATTAACTTAGTTTCTGTAAATGCAGCAGCAAAATGTACGTGTTAAATCTAAAAAGATATCCGGGCTAGTGATTCTGGACTACCATAGAAAATGTGTAGTGAAGATGCCAGTGGCCTTCACCAGGGAACTTGTTGCAGCTAACCGGTCGCAGATTCCAAAACCTGAAGTGGCTAGGGAATGGCTACATCTGAGGCCCATCGCCGATAATTTGACACCGTACCACCCAGATGCAGATATTTCTATACTGATTGGAAACAACCGTCCGAGAGCTATCCGACCCAGGGAAATAGTTGCCGGTGAAGATGACGAGTCTTACGCTCAGAGGACTATACTTGGTTGGGGAGTTATTGGAAGAGTGTGCAAGCCAAGTAATGTTGAAAACACAGACAAGGGTGTGTGTAATAGAGTTGGAGCTTCAGAAATTCGTAGCCAGTTTGCATTTGCCACGAAGGCTAAAGAGATTATTGGCCCAGAGAACGTTCTTCGTGTGTTAGAAACTGACTTTGTTGAGACACGTCTCAAGTACAAACCTTATTCTATGGAAGATGAGAGATTTCTAAGGATTCTTGAGGACGAAGTAAAGAAACAATCAGATGGACGTTATGTGATGCCACTTCCGCTGAAATCAGACAGTATGTGACTTCCCAACAACCGCCAGCTTGCTTTAAAGAAGTGGAACTAACTGAATGCCAGATTCAAGGAGAATCCAAAGTTTTTTGCAGACTACCAGACCTTTATGAAGGACCTAATTTTACACTGTGCAGATGAAGTTCCTGTAGATCGCCTTAAGGTTCAAGACGGTAAAGTCAATTACGTCCCGCATACAGATGTCTTCCATCCAATGAAACGAGGGCAGATAAAGGTGGTGTCTGACTGTTTGGCCCAGTTTAACGGAGTCAGCCTCAATGACTACTTGCTGCAAGGTCCTGACTTTATGAACGATCTGTTCGGTATTTTGTGTCGTTTTCGCAAGGAAAGCGTTGCATTTATGACGGACATCAAGAACATGTTCCATCAGTTCGTGGTTGCCGAAAAACACAGAGATCTGTTACGTTTCCTTTGGTGGTTGGATGGGGATCCATCAAAGGACGTAATCGACTATCGTAGAAAAGTTCACCTGTTTGGTGCCAGAGGTTCGCCAGGTTGCGCGAACTTTGAGCTTAGGCGAGCAGCTGACGATGGCGAAGAAGAGTTCGGTACAGATGCTGCGGCGTTCATACGCAAGGACTTCTACGTAGATGATGGACTGAAATCTGTATCAACGGTACCCAAAGCCATCCAGTTAATCAAGGCCAGTCCAGCAATTTGTAGCAAGGCTTGTCTCAGATTACATAAGATAGTCTCCAACAAGAAAGAAGTTCTCGAAGCCTTTCCTGTTAATGACCAGTCAAGGGAAATGAAGGAACTGAACTTAGCTGCAGATCCATTACACACTGAAAGAGCTCTAGGCGTGATGTGGTGCGCGGAAAGTGACAGTTTCCTGTTCCGGATTGAACTTCATGATCGCCCTTTAACTCGAAGAGGTGTATTGTCCACCATTGGCTCCATTTATGATCCTGATGGGTACCTGGCCCCTGTTGCACTCAGAAGTAAACAGATTCTTCATCAGATGTGCAAAGACAAGCTGGATTGGGATAGCCCTGTTCCAGAGTATCTACACCCGCAGTAGGAAAAGTGGCGGCGAGAAATCGTACAGTTGGAGAAACTGGAGGTACAGCGATGTTTCAAGCCAGACAACTTTGGCCCAGTGAAAGCAGTGGAGGTCCACTATTTTTCAGACGCTTCAATGGAAGGTTATGGTCAATGCTGTTATCTAAGATTGATTAGCGAACTCGATCACGCTAATTGTTCTTTCATCGTCGGAAAAGCCCGGGTAACCCCCCTTAATCACAAGACTATTCCAAGACTGGAGTTAGCTGAAGTGGTTATTGGTTGAAATTGGTTTTTGGTTCATCAATGGTTCATCAAAAATAGCGAGGTTCATATCGAGTTGTGTGACATGTAGACGACTGCGTAGGCCCACTGAGCAGCAGAAGATGGTCTGCCTTCCTGACCACAGACTTGAACCAACTCCTCCTTTTTCGTTTTGTGCCGTGGATTACTGTGGTGTAGTCATGAGACAAGGAGATACTCACACTTTCATTGCTTTTACATAATGTCCTTTATTAACTGAACAACTATCTTTATCCCAATACAAATCATAATCTACTTTCACTTTTAGTATCAGTACTTTTACATCCGTGCTGTATTACTTTAATATCACTTAGTACACGTAGTTTCACTAATGTTGGTAATAGTACATAATCGTTACTATGGTGATCAATACATTACAATTACTTTGGACCGTTCATTGTCAAAGAGAGAAGAAGTGAAGTTAAACGCTATGGAGTAGAATTGTTTACGTGTATGAGGTGACGAAGTGTTCATCTAGAGACTGCCAATTCATTGGAGAGTTCTTCCTTTATAAATGCATTGAGACATTTCATGAATCGAAGAGGTGCTGTGAGACAACTGAGGTCCGACCAAGGGACAAATTTGATTGGTGCACGAAGTGAACAGAAAGCAGCATTATGTGAGAGGAATTAAGATCGCGTTCAAGACTATTTGCTAAGGAATGGATGCGAGTGGATTCCATTCAAGTTGAACGTACCCCATTCTAGTCACATGGGCGGGACATGGGAAGGTATGATTCGTAGTGTACGCAACGCACTTGAACCACTACTGTTACAAGCTGGCAGCCAACTTGATGATGCGACATTGCGAACACTCTTGACAGAAGTCGAGTGCATTATTAATTCAAGACCCCTCAGCGTCGATAACTTGTGTGGTGCAGAAGCGCCAGAGCTACCGCCCCCAGGAAAGTTTCAAAGAGCCGATATGTATTGTTGCAGACGTTGGAGAAGAGTTCAGTATCTATGAATTCTGGCTGAGATGGCAGAGAGAGTAGCTTCAAATGTTACAAGTCAGGCAAAAGTGGGTCCGGCCTAAGAGAAACNTCGATAACTTGTGTGGTGCAGAAGCGCCAGAGCTACCGCCCCCAGGAAAGTTTCAAAGAGCCGATATGTATTGTTGCAGACGTTGGAGAAGAGTTCAGTATCTATGAATTCTGGCTGAGATGGCAGAGAGAGTAGCTTCAAATGTTACAAGTCAGGCAAAAGTGGGTCCGGCCTAAGAGAAACCTTGCTGTTGGTGATATAGTCATCTCTAAGGAAAGTGAAAGCACGCGCAACAAGTGGCCAATTGGCAAAGTAGTGCAGGTGTACCCTAGTGACGACAGGTATGTCAGAAAGGTCAGGTTGCTGATGGCAGATGGGAATTTGGATGATAGTGGCAAACGCCAACGCCCACCATCATATTTAGACAGACCTATACACAA